GACGACGTCGAGGTCGGTTGCTCGCTGGGGAGGGGACGCGGGGCCTCTGCCAGGTGCGTTGTGGGATGTGAGGATTTCCTTTGGGACTCTCACTTCCCTGAGCCCCAGCGATGACGGCGCAGCCGAGCTGGAGGATGCAAGGGGGGAGGCGGAGGGGGGTGAGCAGCGGAGCGGCGATACTCGCTTTCTCCCCGAGGATCCTCTGGCTCGGCTGTCCCTCCAGCCTTATGTCCCCCGCAAACAGTTGTCGCTGCGGAGTTTGGCCGGCGGCCTCTCTCTTCCGGGTGTTCAGTACGCCGGTCTGGATCTAGCGCCCGTTCGGACAAGTCTCTTAAGAGAGTTTCCCGCCTGCTCTGTGCGTCGTCCCCGGCCACCCCAGGGCCGCCTCCGGGAGTGCTGGTCGCTGCGCGTGCAGCTGGTGGTCGGCGGGAGGGCGTCGTGACCCCACAAGGTGGTCTTGCGGTTTTAGGAGCGCCGGGCGACGCCATAGTGAACCCCCCTCCCCGGGACGCACGTCGCGTTCGCCGGGGAGTGTGGGGGGGCCCCGCCCCTGCGTCGCCTTGGGTGCAGCCCGGCGGCTTTCTCGGGTTCGGCCGTCTCCTGATGCGCTTCTGCGCGCGGCGGGAGGGCGCGCGTGCGTCGGAGATGCGCTCGACCGCGGCCGGGAAGGCGGTTTCGCCTCGCTGGCGGCACGAGGCCGCGCGTGTCCCGTCAGAGGCAGCTGCGGAGCGCAGTATTAGGCCGATCTCACGCGTGCGCGCGAGGGAGCGGGGCTGCAGGCCGAGGCTGGGGCTGAATTGGTGTCAGAAGAGACGCCGAAGATGCCAATGGAGAGGGGGCGAGAGAGAGGCAGATGGGCGCGCGTGCCGCTCTGTGGGCGCACGACGCTGAGGCGCGGTCTCCACATCACTCGTGTTTGTCTGGGCGGATGCGCGGGAGACCGGCGCGGGCGCGCTGCGAGAGTCAGTCAGGAGAGTGGGGAGACCGGCTTCTGCTAACACGGCGGGCGCGGCGTCGAGAGGCGAGCCGCGCCCTCGTAGCGCGGAAAAGAGACAAAGAACTGTAGCGCCGAGACGGGAGGCTCCCTGCGACCGGCTGCGGGCCGCCTGTATTTCCAGCTACTGGGGAGGCCCTGGACGCGCCACGGCCATTGACTGCTGAACCCCCGGGAGGCGCAACAGCGAGCGGAGCTGAGATGCGGGCGGCCGATTCGGCAGCGCCGCAGCGGCGAGAGGAAAGGCAGAGCGAGTCGACAGTCGTGCCTCCTCTCCCAAGAACCCAAAACAGAAAGAAGCGCCTGCTGTCTACAACAGCCGTCGGGGCGTAACTGAAGCATGAAAGCTTTCTGCCCCCGTCCCGGCGGGCCGCTCTGCGCCACCTCAGGGGCCTTACCCAGGCCTCAGCTTGGCCTCCTGGACTTCCTGGCCTCCCCTCCACCTTTGCAATTCACCAGGCCGGTGGCCAAAGCGGCTTCAAACAACCCTGGAGGGTGGTGCTGTCAAGGTCATGGGACCACGGACTTGTCTGAAAATCCGAAGGCATTGGATCTTCTCTTCCCCAGAAAAGTGCACCCCGCTTTCAGAGGTTCGTGTCCCTCCTGAAGTCACCCAAGCGTGCCCTGCTTTTCTTTCTACCCCGACCTTGTAAGAAGCCGCCGCCGTGAGCGGAGCAGCACCTTCCTCCGCGGGTCGCGGGAGTCACCTGCGGGAAGGGACTCTCCGTCTGGCACAGGCCCTGTCTGGCCTGGGGCGCGCACGCTCCGCCGCGGAATCCTCCAGAAAGCCTTGGACCCGCGGCCCTGGCAGACGCAGGCGGCCCAGCGCCTTGCTTTCGGCGCCTCGCCTCGCCCTGGAGCACCCTCCCGCAAGGTAAGGGGCTGCCTGGAACGCAGATCGCCAGCCGCCGGGGCTCTGAAGAACCCAGAGGCGCTCGGCGGAAAGCTCTCCAGGAGACCCGGACCCGAACCCAAACCCGCGGGCTCCCCAAGGCGACAGTGTCGGGCGGCCGGACGCACGTGCGTCCCGGGGAGGGGGGTTCACTTGGCGTCGCCCCGGCCGCTCCTTAAACCGCAAGACCCCCTTGGGGTCACGACGCTCCCGGGACACCCCTGCACGCGCGCGCCAGCACTCCCGGAGGGGCCTGGGGTGGGCCACGCGCACGGAGAGCGGGAAACTCCTCTAAGCTTCCCGGGGGTAGATCCAGACCCTACTGACACCCGGAAACCGCCGGCCACTCCGCCCCCGGAAGCGACACTTTGGGACAAAGCTGGGGACAAGCGAGCCCAGAAGATCCTCGGGAAGCCGAGTTTCGCGCTCCGCTCTCACCCCCCCTCCGCCTCCCCCTTGCATCCTCCAGCTCGGCTGCCGTCTCGCCTGGGGCTCAGGGAAGTGAGGTCCCAGGAAATCCTCCATCCCCACAACGCAACCTGGGCAGAGCCCCGCGTCCCTCCCCCAGCGGGCACCCACCTCGCGTGCCGCCCGCGCAACGACACCGTTTACCGCCACCCCACACAGTCCGCCGAAAAGGGCGATTTGCAAACGGTCATTTCCCATCCACAATACAGCGAAAACTCAACGCTGGGCACGAAGCGTGCGTCTCCCCCAGATTCCCAGCCCGCGTCCCCGCTCCACGCTCCGGGACTCGCCGCCAGTGGGGTCCGCTCCGCCGGCGCGGGGGCTGGGGTGGGAGCCCGGGGCCACGTGGACGCCCGAACTCCCAGCTTCTGGGCGGCCAAGACCTCAGGCGTGGGCGCGGGTGCGTCGGGGGTCCTGGGAACCAGATGATGCAACAGCGGGCGGAGGCGCGGAGGGGGAGACCCGGACCCAGTTGGGATCCTCCGTCCAGAGCGGGGAGCGGGTCTCGGTGGGGCCGGATCTCACCTGGACGGATATGTGGGAAAGAGGGGCGAGCTGCTGCCCCGACTGCGGAGAGGTGGAGACGGCGACCCCGGGGTGGCGGCCTCGCTGGGACCCCCCGCAAGGGGAGCGGGCGGGCTGCGATTGGCGGAGAGGCGGGGGCGGAGGCCGGCGCCCGCCAATGCCTCGTGGCAGAGCACCCGCCCCGCCCAGCCCCTCCTCCACCCCACCCAGCCCGGGCCCCTCCCCCAACCCCACCGCAGACTGGGACCCGCCGGCCTGAGACCCCCGCCCTCCCCGGGACCCCGGCTTGCCCCCACCGCAGTTCGCCCGCCCCATTTCCACGCCCTGTTGATTCAACCGCAGACCCGGGTCGCCGCCCCTCCCCCGCCTTCCCCTGCCCCTGCTCCCACCCGCGGACCCCGGGGGCCGTGCGAACGCCCCTACGTGGTGTTCCGATGCTGTTTTACTTGGTTAACTTCTTGCCCTTCGGGAATTTAAGGAACATTTACTAATGAGCTCGAAACGTGCGTCCTGATGGGTCGGGGGATTGCGCGTCCTCGAGGACCGACCCCAAGGGCGTGTGTTGCGGACCCGGGAGACCGGGGCGCCGCGCCGGGGAGGGACTCGATGGCCGCTCTCTGTGGCCACCGGACGCCGTGCGCAGCGGGTCGGATCCCCGAGCCGAGGCGCTGAACAGTCGCCTTGCGCGGCTCCGGTGCGGCCCACGGGCAGGGGCAGCCGGGCGCTCGCGGGGACTGGGCCGACGCCGCGCAGGGTGGTAGCAGGGGCGCCCCGCGGGGCTCCTTCGCCAGGTCCCGGAGGCCGCGGGCGGGGCCGTTTCCCAAACATCGTGTTCTGGACTTTCAGAGGCTGAACCTGATCCCCCCGCCCTATGGCTAAATGGGGGACCCCAGGCCCCCGAGTCTCCCTGGAGTCCTGCAGCGAAAGACACGGACGGTGCCCAGCAGCTCTGGGCGGAGGAACGCGCTGCGCCTCCGCGGCGTCCCGGGCTCAGTTCAGAGCGATGCTCCGCAGCCTCCTCCGGCCCGCGCGGCTCCGCCGGGGTCTCTGCCGCTTGGGGTTCACAGTGCGGGAGGGAGTGAGACGTGAATTAGAATTAAATGTCCACTGACAGGAACTGACACGAAGAACAATAAAGCGGGCGACGTGGGGAGGGGACGGGGATGGGGTTACATTAGGAAGGCTCTGGAAGGCGGGACTGGAGGCCGAGACCGCGCCGCTGTCCTCCAGCCTGTGCGACTGAGCGAGACTGTCTCAAAAAAAAAAAAAAAAAAGAAAACCAAAAAAAACCCCTGAGCCTTTGTAAGAAGAGAGACGTGGACACAGACACGCGGAGAGAAAAAGGCCATGTGGAGATGGGGGCAGAGACGAGCTGTGCTGCCACCAGACT